TTTTTTTTTAAGGTTAATTATTTTTGTATAAAAGTATAGCTAATAAATACCACATAAATCTACATTTCAGACTTTGTACAAAAATTATAAAAATTCCGAAAATTTTTCATTCCAATTCCAAAAATTTTAATTTGTAGAATAATTTTTGGTAGGCAGTTTTATAGCTCATTAAATTCTAGTATAACAAACTGCAAGTTTGAAGTTGCTAAAAAAATGTTATGTGTTATGCACTCTTTTCTATATGAAAAATTATTTGGTATGGGCTTCAAACATATTTTCAAAAATAAACTTTTTTAAGCCTCTTTAGTTTAATATCCGTATTTTAATATTTCATTTGTTTTATCAATTTAATTGAATATAATTTTTCAAACATGTGGCAACTCTCCTAAAAAACATTTTCGGCAATAAACTTTTCCATACCTCTTTGGTTTGATACCCATATTGAAATATTTAATTCCTTTCAGCTGTAAGCATGATACAAAAAAGAAGGTAGTTTCATTTAATGACATTCGTTGTTGTTGTTAACCATTTGACTTTTAATAAAATTATGACATTTCATCAAATTCATGCTACCTGATCACTAGAAGAAATATTTTTTTTTAACCAGAAGATTTTATCATTCAACGATGTTGAATATGATAAACTAGAAAATTATGCCGGCTACATGATTTCGAAAATGGGGTTGACGACTAGGTTCAGAAATCATGACGAAAGTGTATGCTTACATATCGTCGCTTAAAGTACAAAACCGCGTATCGTCGTTCTGCAAAACCGCGTAATTGACATTTTTTGCCAAAAATGGGATTTGCTCACACAAGCTCTTGGCTCAAGCCTTATCCATTCGTCCTGAAATGCGATTTCTTTGTAAAAAAAGAGAACCTTTTGAAATATGAGTGTTTTTACTCTCTACAAACAATTAATGCAACTGCGTATGTGACAGTTGTGCATTTTGTCGATTCACGGTTTTGTACTTTAAACGAGGATCTGTTAGTTGTTTATCGATCTCTTCAAGCCGACTTCAGGTATTTTGCATAAATTAAGAATTTGTGAAATTTAATGATGATGCGCTAATCACAAAGCCTAATTTTTTGCAAAATCTGATGAGAAATGTAAAAGTAAATTTGAACCAAAATATAAAAAGGTTTTATTTGGGAAGAACATTATTTAGAATTCGACTTTTAAATCGCAAGATTGCATTCAAAATAAGAAAACAAAAAAAAATAACAGAATAATGCGCGCGTGGTTTTTATTACAAAATGAAAAGAACAGTTACAATGAAGTCTCCTTTTGAAATGTTATTACATTGGTATAAATATGGGAAAGAAAATACTCCGATTTATTGTTTTAATATTATCAAAGTGGCAAGGCCGTTATAATACTCACAACTTATGAAACTTCAAAAAATTTTATTATCCGTCAAAAGTTGTTTATTGAAACTACCTTCTTTTTTGTATCATGAAACTACCTTCTTTTTTGTATCATGGGTGCGAGTATTGTACTTTCAAAACTTGAATTTGAGGAGAATCATTTATGAGTATCAGTAAATGTATGTAAATAGAACTCAGTGCTTTTAAATATCTGTTCGACACTTAGTACTGATAATTTCTAATCGATCCTGAGTACTGAGTACTTTTGAATCCTTTTAAGTTATGAGTACTTTCGCATACTTATTCTTATTCGCATACGGATTCTGAGTACTTTTAGTATAGATACTGCCCAACACTAAATAAATAAAAGACGATAAGCTCCGAAATTACTCATTTTTTCATTGTGACTCGAAAAAATCTTATTTTTTTTATAAATTTAAGAAGATTTCAAATAGAATGTTCAAATTAAAAGCAATGGACTTTGGGATCAAATAAAATATATCTTTGAAGTTCCAAAAGCTTACCACGAAATTAGAAAAAAACTGGCAGCATGCAGAATATCAGTCGCAGCTATTTGATAATTTTTGAAATTTTACGATTTGTTTAATTTCAATATTTTATTGAATAAAAGATGACAATAGGGCTGTTCAGGAAATGGCTTTAAATTTGCATTTGCTACTTTATGCTTTCATTTTTACAATGTTTATTGGCAAACTCGAAATTAACTCTAAAATTTGTATATACCTGAAGAAAGCAAAATACATAAGTATGTATGTGTGTATAAGGAATACTGTGCAACAATCTCCCAAGTCAATATTTAATTAATTTTAAATAATTTGACTTTAAAGTTAAGGCGTGCGAGTAAACGTGTTAGATAGACTGCATATGGTGCTACGGGGCGTATACGCTACATACGCAACTACGGGTATATGAGCATGATGGTTATTTTTAACCGACTTCCAAAAAAGGAGGAGGTTATCAGTTCGTCAGAATATTTATTTTTTATTTATTTTTTATTTATTTATGTTATCGCATAACTTTGGACCACGTCAACCGATTTCGATAATTTTTTCATTGGAAAGGTAGTGTCTCAGAGGTGGTCCCATACTAATCTGGTAAAGATCCCATCAGTGGATCATGAGATATATATATATATATTTTATATGAGAGTTGAAGTCAGTTTTTTTTTGCTAAAAATTACTTGTTTTTAGTACTTATATCTTTTTTGAAAATTCATTTAAATACAATTTTGCGTTGGAATCTTGTTCTTTATACAAAACTGAAGATAATGCATTTTCTAAAATAAGTGTGCCTCCATTTTCGACGAAGAACACGTTTTTGTCGAAAAATGTAACAACTCGTGAGATTTGCTTATATGTATGTATGTATGTATGTATTCCAGAACAATATACTATACATACCTATATTTTTAAGCGACTTCAAAAAAAAAAGAAAAGAAGGTTATCAATTGATCGTAATATTTTTTTATATATGTTACCGTATAACTTTGGCCTTTTTTTTTATCGGAAAGGCGGTATCCCAAGGGCGGTCTCGTACTAATTCGGATTAGTTGCGTTCATTGGACCATGAAGAAACATGGGCGTACACAGCGCAAAATTTAGGGATGAGGCGAAATTATTTGTAATGCATATTTTATTAGAAATGTTAAAATAAAGTTATGGATTATTACAATTTACCTCCAGACGAATCATATCGAAAATAAAATTGTTTTTCATTTGGTCAACACCCCCAAATCGCAAATCAAATATATTTCTTAATTAATAGCTGATTTTAAATCAAAAAGGATTTGAAATCACGCAACCCTGATCGACAG